CTGTTATATTCTGTCAGAAAACTCCAAACATTATAAAACTCTTACTTCTGATTTGGAACATATTGAGGAGGCTAGTAAAATGAATTAAAGACTCTGCAAGTTTTAGCTCATATAATATTGAGGACCATACACATTGGCCAGATGCCTAAGCTGTGGAAAATAGCGTCATTGCCAGCCTCTTCCTCCATGTCCACAGAGGATAATAGTCCAGATAACCGACTTGCTTACCTGATATTATGAAGAGTTTAGAAATAAAAGTAGGGCGCACTTTTCCTGGAAAAATTAACAATTTTGAAAGAGGAAGTGGCCTTGATTAATGATTCATGTTGCTGCAATGAAGGATGGCATGGAATAAGCATATAGTGTACATTTTTAAGACATCCTTCTCTCTTCCAAAACACCAAAACACATAATTTCTCCTCCTTCCTCTTAAAATCCATTGGCCACCCATTGAAACTCCATACACCCTCCTTGTAAACTCCATCCTGCTTAGGTATCAGGGATCAGGTATCAGGGGTCAGGTATCAGGAGTCAGGTATCAGATATCAGGAGTCAGGGATCAGGAGTAAAGTATTATGAGTCAGGTATCAGATATCAGGAGTCAAGGTTTAGGAGTCAGGTATCAGATACCAGGAGTCAGGGATCAGGTATCAGGAGCCAGCTATTATATATCAGGAGCCAAGGATCGGGAGTCAGATATCAGATACTAGGAGTAAGGGATCAAGTATCAGGAGTCAAGTATCAGATATCAGGAGTCAGGGATCAGGAATCAGGAGTCGGGGATCAGGAGTCAGGGATTAGAAGTCAGGCATCAGATATCAGGAGTCAGGGATTAGATATCAGGAGTCAAAGATCAGATATAAGGTATCAGGATTCAGGGATCAGGAGTCAGGGATTAGGAGTCAGGGATCAGGTGTCAACTATTAGGAGTCAGGTATCGGATATCAGGAGTCAGGGATCAGGTATCAGGAGCCAGGTTTTAGATATCAGGAGTCAGGGGTCAGGTATCAGATATCAGGAGTCAGGGATCAGGTATCAGGAGCCAGGTTTTAGATATCAGGAGTCAGGGGTCAGGTATCAGATATCAGGAGTCAGGTATCAGATATCAAGAGTTACATATGAGGTGTGAAGTATTAGGCATCAGGCATTAGATATCAAGAGTCCTGTATCAAATATCAGCAGTCAGATATCAGATATCAGGAGTCACGTAGGAGGAGTAAAGTATTAGGCGTCAGGCATCAGATATTTAGGAGTCAGAGATATCAGATATCAGGAGTCAGGGATCAGTATAAAGGGATCACATACCAGGAGTTAGGTATCAGATATCAGGAGTCAGGTATCAGATATCAGGAGTCAGGGATCAGGAGTCAAGTATTAGGAGTCAGGGATCAGGAGTCAGGCATCAAGTATCAGGCATCAGGTATCACTAGCTAGGCGTTGGGAATCAGAAGTCAGGTATCAGGAGTCAAAAATCAGGTATCAGAAATCCAGAGTCAGGTATCAGATATCAGGAGTCAGAAATCAGGTATCAGAAATCAGGTACCAGGAGTGATGTATCATTAGTTAGGCATCGGGAGTCATCAGATATCAGCAGTCAGGCATCAGATACCAGGAGTCAGGTATCATTAGTCAGACATCAGGAGTCAGGTATCAGGTATTAGGTGTCAGACATCGGGTATCAACCATCATGATGGGATTGTGTGTTTATGTCTCATGGTTATGAGCTTACATAGGACAACCTCAACTGTTTATTTATACTATTACTTATACTTGCAAATGTCATATATGAAACATAATACTTGTGCTATATAAACTCCTGAACAAGGATAAGTCATCATATGAAGAAAACATAAAAAGGATGATTTTGATAGTTGATGGATAGTGTGCTTATGTCACATGCTCAGGAGTTTACATAGTACAAGCTATTTTTTATGTTTATTTATTTCTAAAATTTTACATTTTTTTGTGTGCATTGATACAGTAACTGGTGGCAATACAGGTACATGCATACATAGAGTCAAAAATGTAGCTTAAAGTAAACAATATTCATAAAACAAGGAAATTGCACATTTTTGTATAAGTAACAGTGCATAACAATTCAAGATTTTCCTAGTCTTGACATCAGAAAATATAGATTTTATTAAAGACAGGAGGCGAGTATTATGCATTAACTTTCTTTACTTAACTCCAGCAGCAAAGACATTTTTTCAATAAAGTTTAGTGAATAAAAAAGATAAAAACAACAGAGTAACTGAAATGGAACGTTGGTAGCCAATCAGCATCCAGCATAGTCTATATAGTGAATGATCCCCAATATTCTCCCTCTTTCGAGTTGCGAATCTAGAAGAAGTGTCTAGTAGAGTAACTCCAAGGATAGAATGACGAAACTCCAAACATGATTAAGCAGAAATATAAATAACAGGGTGGGTTAATGGGAGGGATAATACTCGCCTCCTGTCTTTAACAAAATCTATATTTTCTGACGTCAAGACTAGGAAAATCTTGAATTTTATAACAAGACAGGAGGCTCGTATTATGCATGTTCAAAGCTAAATACATCAGAAGTTATTACAATATTATTTTTGAAACATGCAGGCTAGGTCTAAAATAATATACAAACAGAGAAAAGTATACACACTAGAAAGGTATATAGAGAAAAACGTATAACTGGAAGTGATCCCAGGTGTACCTCACAAACACCTAAAACATATATAGCCAAAACATAAAGTGGAAAACACCCAGAGTACGTTAAAATATATATATAAAAACAAGTTAAACAACCTGAAATCTGGTAAATATCCGTAATCCGTGGGATTTTTTTCCTTATGGACTTTTAATTTATGCTTTTAATTTATCTTGTATTTACTTGCATTTGGTGGTTCCATTAACTTGTTCTTGGATCTTCTCCTGGACCTGCCACCCCGTTGTATAGGAGTTCCATGTTGTATGGAGAAACGCTCTTCTTAATTTCTTCATGTGTAAGTGTGACCAATAAATGTGGTTTTGTATTTTTATAACAAACTTCACTATATCTGATTTCCTTTATTTACATATATTCCACCAGATGATACTGCAAGTTCATATTCATCATACATCATATTACCCTTGAGAGGGTGAGAAGCCTGATTTCACGTTTGTTTGTGAGTGCACTTATTACTACATTTATCATTCACTTCATCCGATACTGTATTATGCTATGTTAGTTTTCTAATTCCTTACACAGATTCTATTTACGGATATTTACCCAATTTCAGGTTGTTTAACTTGTTTTTATATATATATTTCAACGTACTCTGGGTGTTTTCCACTTTATGTTTTGGCTGTATAGGTCTAAAATAAAACTGTTTAAATGTAGATTCTGAAGACCAATCTGCAGTTTTTAACAGATCTGATAAAGAGCCTCCTGCTTGAAACACTTTAGTAGTCATAGCTCCTCTTGTTGAGTGAGCTCCAAACATTGAAATATTAATAACTGCCATAGACATAGTTTGTCGTACCCATCTAGCTAAAGATGTAGAGGAGACAGGCAGAAAAGGGTTTTGAAAAGAGATGAGTAATTGCTAGAAATTAGAATTTCGAATCAAAGAGGTTTTAAACTCATATGTTTGAAGACAGCTAACAACACATAGAAGAGGATGGTCAGAAAATGAAGGATAGAATACAGTGCGGAGATTAGTTTTGGTACGTATAACAATAGAAAAATTAACACCATCAGGAGTATATTGTCTATTATTTAAGTCTAAAGCCTTAACGTCAGAAACTCTTTTGAAAGAGATGAGACATAGTAATGTGGTAAGCTTAAACGAAAGCAATTTTAATGATAATGAGTAAATTTTAAGGATAATGGCACCCCATGATTCTATCAACTGGAGTACCAGAGTAACATCCCAGGTGGAATTATATTTAGGGCATGGAGGACTTTTAAATCTGATACCCTTCACAAGTCTGCAGACTAGAGGATGTTTACCCACAGGGAAAAATTCAATAGGGTCGTGATTTGCTGAGATAGCAGATCTATTGACATTAATGGTGCGATAAGCTTTCCCTGAGTCAAAAGAGGCTGACAAAAAATTTAGAATGTTTTCTAAATCTGAATGTATGCAATCCACAGCCCGTCCCATGTACCAATTAAGCCAAATTTTCCAGGCTGATCTGTAATTTGCACGGGTTCCCGGTGCCCATGCAAAATTCCCTATGAGATTTGAATGACCTGAAATGAGAGATGCAATCAAGGGTAGTTGGCCCGACAGAACTAGAGGATGAAAATTTACCTCCGGATCGCAAAGAGAATTCTGACGCATCTGTATGAGTTGTGGGTAGTCTATCAACATGCTGAGAAGCTGAGGGAACCATGGTTGTGATGGCCAGAGAGGGGTTATAACTACTAAGGTCGATTTCTTGGACAATGCTTTCAGAAGTACCCGGGGGAAAAGCATAATTGATTCCGTCTTTCCAACATTGGAGGAAAGCATCTTGATCTACTGCTTCTGGATCCGGACGCCAACTGAAAAATATTTCTAGTTGGCGATTGAGTCGTGATGCAAAGAGGTCATATTTAAATGGACCCCACAGAGCAAGTAGTCATTGGAAGATGTTGAGATCCAACATCCAGTCGTTGTAATCCACTAGGAAACCGGAATTCCAATCTGCTACTGTATTGGAAAGGCCAGGAAGGTATTCTGCTCGTAACGTTATGTTTCGATCAAGGCAAAAATGCCATAATTCTTTGGCAATGTCCGCCAGTTGCTTGGATTTTGTACCTCCTAAGCGATTTATATATTGGACTGCTGATATGTTGTCCATCTTGAGAAGGATACAACAATGGGATTTGTGTTTTGCAAAACTGGGTAGAGCGAAAAACCCTGCCATCAGTTCCAGGCAGTTTATATGCATATTTGTCTCTTCTAGAGACCATTTGCCTCCTGTGCAATTGCCTTCACAACGGGCTCCCCAGTCTATTCGACTTGCGTCGGATTCTATAGTTAGGTATGGGAATGACGTGAAAATGGCTTTCCCATTCCAAATTTGAACGTGATCTAACCACCAGGATAGTTCTGTTCTTGTCTCTGAAGTTAGAGAAATCTCGTCTGAATAGAGGAGACCGTTGCGTAGATGTTCTCTTTTCAATCTTTGAAGAGCCCGATAGTGAAGGGGGGCTGGAAAGATAGCCTGGATCGAGGCTGATAAAAGACCTACAATCCGTGCTAAAGACCTGATGGAAATTAATTCCTTATTTAGAACTGGCCTGATCTCTTTTTGAATCGTTTTCAATTTCCGTGATGGAAGGCTGAGAGTGGCTAAATTGGAATTCACTAGAAATCCTAAAAATTCTATCTCCTGAGAGGGAGTTAAAATCTATTTTTTGTAATTTATTACAAAGCCAAGGCTTGTTAACAGATTCAATGTCCATTGAGAATGTAGTTGAAGAGTTTGCACACTCTGTGACATAATCAATATGTCGTCTAGATGGATTATCATTCTTACTCCCCTGCTTCGAAGTAGGGATATTACTGGTTTGAGTAATTTGGTGAAACACCAAGGTGCAGAGGATAAACCAAATGGCAATGATTTGAATTGCCATTTCTTCCCTTGCCATAGGAACTGTAAATATTTCTGACATGAGTGGTGGATAGGTACCATGAGGTATGCATCCTTAAAATCTATTTTTATCAACCAGTCATTGAATATCAATAGGTCTTTGAGGTAGTAAATTCCCTCCATTTTGAAATGGTGGTATCTGACAAAATTGTTTAAGTATTTCAAGTTTATGACTGGTCTGTGACCAGAATCTTTCTTTTTCACCAAGAATAAATTGCTTATGAAGCTTGGGCTGCTCATGGGCACCTGTATCATGGCATTTTTTGAGCATAAACTTAATATTTCTTGATGCACCAGGGCCTGGTCTTGGGTCAAAAAATTTATCGGGAAAGGTATGGACGGGGCATGATATAAAATCTACTTTGTAACCTAGAACCATGTCTAGTATCCAATAATCATTTGTAATCTGTAATCTGACTCCAGACATGGAAAAAACGAGTGAGTCTGCCCCCTAACCCTACCAGGGAAGAAAGGGGGGTTGTCGTACTCACCGGAAGATCTGAAGCGAGACATTCCTCGATGGCCTCTTGATCTCCAAAGTCTGCCACATAGTGGAAAGAATGGAGTTGATTGTTGGGTGTCATATGAGGGCCTGGTGGGTTGAAAGGTATTCCTGGGAACCTGTCTATGTTGAAAGGAACGGCTGGAAGAACGGTTCCTTACTCTTCCAGCCCTTCTGAAAACCTTAGGGTTGAAAACTTTCCTCAGGGATGACTGAGCCTTATCAAGGGAACTAAATAGATTGACATATTTATTAATGTCTTTAATAAAGGATTCTCTGAATAGGAGACCATCCGCAGCTGGACCAGGTTCGGAAGTGGCTAAATTTGACAGTTGAGTGTCAATTTTCATTAAAATAGACCTGCGGCGTTCGCTGGTCCGCGCTGCATTAGCATTCCCCAAAAAGCATATAATGCGTTGGGTCCAGCCTCTCAAAGTTTCAATGCTGGGTTGATTCCCAGAAGCTGCCGCATGTTCTAAAGTTTCAAACGTTTTAGCCACAGGACCAGAAATGTCCATTAATTTTTCTTGACAAGATTTTAGTGATCTCTCAAGACCTTTATTTGGGTTCTTCCCTGATTTTGTTAAAAATTGCACAATGTGCGACTTTCTTTGGCAAGGTCGGTCTAGGGCATTCAGCTCTTTGTTTATTTCTAGCCGCTTGGTCAAGGGGTTTCCTCAACCAGTATTCAAGATATTTGGCTACATGAGCCATAGGGACCCATTCGGCTGACCTGGGGTGTTTAATATGGTCTCGGTCGAATAATGGTTTACCATTAAAATCCCAAATAATATTCTCTTCATCAGATTTAGAGATAAGCTCAGGTGTCTCTGAGATATATGAATAATTTGAGGCAGAATCAGAGTCAGATTTTTCATCCCCTGAGATTGAAGATTAGTCACTATCTGAGGATGTTTTATAGGAGTCAGGTTTGCTCCTGTGAATGGCCTTCCGAGCTCGTTTGTCTTCCTCACGAGTAGAGGGTCTTTTGAGTGATTGATTACACTCTTTAGTTTTGCGTGAGACACGCATTGTGTTCTTGTCTTGGTCCTTCCCTATCTTAAGTGGCTTAGAGCCGCCAGGGGATTCTGCAGGACCGTCAAAGCAATGTTTGTGTTCCTGGGTGGCCTTCCCAGACCTCCTAAAACCTTGAGCTAGGTTCCATTCAGACTCCACAGATGACCAGAACTGATCTGAAGGAGTACTAATTATATGAGTCTTCTCACTGGGTTTTGAGTTGCTTATGGTTTGAGCCACAGACTTTGCAATTGCTTCTTGCAAAGACATTGCAGTATAAATTGCAGAGGAAACTGACTTTTGAACGGATAAATCCACAATATTTTGTAAAGAATCCTCAGTGAGGATTGCACAATCATGAGAAACACCAGGTTTTGGTAACTCAATTTGTCTAATCTCTTTAGAATTCATAATTTACAAAATTGCAACAAATAGCAATTGTATCTACTATTCGAGAATAGTTGAATAATAAAAATGTTGCCAACTATGAGGGGAAATCCTGACAGGAAAATCAAATAGTTCAAGTTATAATAATAATTACCAGTAAAGAGTAACAAGTTGTGAAGAAAAACGCTGTCCTGAGGTAAAGTGGGCGGGAAAGTTAGCTGATGACCAACTAACTGGTATTCCTGCCCATAAAACGTCATCAATGTATGAGGGACTAACTGACAGAAACGCGCGTGCAGCGGTTCGCTTAAAACTGCAGAAATGACTGAACAGTGAATTGACTGTTCGTATACAAAAAACCCGTGAACGTGAGAATAATAAAGTAATACGAAAAGTAAATGGGTGCAATTCGTGTGAAAAAACTAACGAATGCGATTCATAGAAATAACTGACCTAACAGTTCAAAGACAAAACTACCGAACGCAGACGAAATCGCGACTTCATTTCCAGATAGAATACATGAAAGACAGTGCACTAAATATAAATATATATATTTTAAAACAATAAGAAGACATATAATTACTTCAGAAAAGTATATATTCTAAAGGAATAAACACAAATGTCAACATATAACCAAACTAGAAGGTATGTATAGAAAACAGTAGCATAAGTGAATATATATGATACTTATCTCTACTGGAGCAGCAAAGAAAAAGGGAGAATATTGGGGATCATTCACTATATGGACTATGCTGGATGCTGATTGGCTACCAACGTTCCATTTCAGTTACTCTGTTGTTTTTATCTTTTTTATTCACTAAACTTTATTGAAAAAATGTCTTAGCTGCTGGAGTTAAGTAAAGAAAGTTAATGCATAATACGAGCCTCCTGTCTTGTTATAAAATCAACATTTAGGAGACAAATAATAAAAGATACATTGGTTGAGACACAAGGCATTATGGCAGTAGCACAAAGGATTAATAATTATGAAAATAACCATAAAAATCATATTAAAGGCATCAGTGATCTTAATCTAAACTAGACTATGTACCAACATTAGTCGAGAATATAAAGCACATAGGCATGTGGCCCATGAACCAATCTTGGACATAAATTCAAATCAGTCAATTCCCTTCAAAGGCAGGAAACAGTCCATATGGTGAAATTTGGACAAATGGCTGTAGGCCCCTGTACGGGTATGTGTCTAGGTCAAAAACAGCACGGACCCGAATTCACTGCCTGAAGTGGTGGTAGGGGTACCAAGGCTTCTCCAATAGTCTAATGAGGCCCAAGTTTCAGTTTTCTCAGGCTTTTCCTTACATAGTTAGAAGACAGCATGTTCTGTGGTTTCCAGGCCCATTTGTAGGAGTGAACAGGTGCCTTCTGGCTGAAGATACCATTCTGTAGATGTAAATCACTCTGCGTAGGCTGTTGCAGTAAGTTAGATACCTTTTTTCTTACAGGAGGCAGTAGACAGAGGCTTAGTTTCATCCAGAAATCTGCAAAGTGCCTTTCCAAGTTTGCCATGCTAAAGGGCTGTGCACTTTGAAAGTCTTGCGACCACATGGTATCTGACATCTTAGAAGGGCTTCTGCAAAAACTGGGGGCTCCAAGAACTCTAGCAGGTCTCATTTTTAATGACTGTAGATGCCTAGAACACAAGTGCCACTGAGAGAAAGTCTACTAGGATAACCCATTACGAACATGGGGGAAACAGAGATTGAGTCAAAAGCTTCTGAGTCCCAGAAGATTAAGGGTAGAGAGATTGGCCATCTCCCTCTCACCAACATCTCTAAGTAGGCCATAAGGTTGCCTCTGTAAAACTGAGACCACAGAAGCCCGTAAAAATGTTGATGTCGCCCAATTGCTGAGCTTACACAATAGCTGAAGAGCCCCTGTAGTAATATAGGACCCTAGAGCGCCGAAAATATTTAGTGATCTGCTCAGAGCTCAGACAAGATGCAACCCAACTGCATGGCAGAAACCTAATATCTCAGGAAGGATTGAATTTAGGAGGATAAGGTTGAGAAGGAGATAGGAGAGACGTTTGGAGGAGGTAGCATGGTGTTTCAAAGGATGACTTACAGAGTATGGGAGAAGATAGTCGTGTATTTTTGCCTCCTCCTTCCTTTCAAACTACCAGATACTTCAGGAATCTGGATTTAGGCATCAGATGTCAGGTATCAAACATCAAACAATATTACAGTGGGGTGGAGGTTTGTTAAGTTCACCACCCCTGTCTTTTACTAAGTCTTCCAGGACCCACTCCTTTTTTAAATTGAGTCTTCACACCCCTTTCTTGCGCTGATTTTTCAGGACCCACCCTGAATCTAAATAAATGATCACAATCTGATTGAAGCTTTTTGATGATTTAAACATATTAAGAAGAGTTAAACCTGAGATTAGGATAAAGGGTTTTATCAGGATTAGGCTTCGACTGCTTTGAGTTTGCAAATAAGGAAAGGGTTTGTGTAGGTATTCGGAAGGGTTAAATTTATGGTTAGTTAAAAAGGATATTGAGTACATGTAGAGTCTGAAGGGCCCTTTTCTCCTGTTTGGTTTGTCTGAATATTTCTCTAATACCTATTTATGAACAACATACGGCTGAACTAAACTGTCATGTGAACGAGAGACAGAAGATCTAAACAAACTAAAATATGAATTCCACTACAGAGGACACCGGCAATGGCTCCTGGTAGTTATCTCTCCTCACCAGCCCACCTTAGCTCAAAATGCAACATTATAAGTGCCAAAAACAGGTACTCACTGCCTAATGGGAAATCTGTCCCTGGCTTCAATACAGCTCTGTGGTCACCGTAGTGCCAATAGAAGACCAGAAAA